TAATGGATGGATGGATGGAAAATTTATATTTTAAGGTTAAACCCCTACGATGTTATCTGTGATAGAAAATTTAATCAAAGAGGACGTTACAAGCAAAATCCACCCGCAAGAGGCTCCACCTGGTGGTGCAGCTGGGAACTGCAGCAAATGTACAGAATATTTTCTTGCTGTTCTTCATCATTCTTTATGTCCTCAGCTCAAACGTTCTATGTCGGCTCCATGACTTTGTCTTGTTTTTGCTTTCAGGTGCCTGAGATGTTGCACAATGATGCCGGGGACCACGGCTTTAGCCACTGGGGCTTTTTCCTCCTCCAGAACGCCGGCATCCTGCTTGGCTTCTGCATAATGCTGCTAATCGCCATTTTTGAGCACAAAATTCAGCTGGACCTGGGATACTGAAGGAGAGGCGGCGTTCAGCTCAATGTGCATTCCAGCGTCTCCGTCTGATGTGTAGTGTTTTTTTTATTTGCTGTCGACAGACTCTGGTCTCCTCGGTTTAGTTCTCACGTCGTGTTGCAAGAAGCACCAGTTCAAACATGAAAATGGAATGTTATCGACCCGCCGCCGTTTTGGTGGAAACAGAAGTCTAGGAGCTTCCGAGGCTCAGATGTCTGCTGTTCGCACTGATGTTAGAAGTAAAAATAGCTCAGAAACTAGTTTTATTTTTTATTAGCTTGCACTGTGGTAAAGCATGCAGCAGTTTCTCACGGTATCAACAAACTCTTCACCCCTCTAGTGGAAGTCAACAACATGTACGACATACATTCAGGATCAGTGGTCACAGTTGATTTTGATAGTTAATCCAGTAAGTTTAAAGTGTTTCTGCTGCTGAGTCAAACTGGATCAGTATTACTGTAGATCCTCAAGGTGTCACAACACCAAACTGGGTAACAAGTCACACCAAAATCCCCCCTTCAAGCACTTAACATTGTTTCCAAAGTACATTTCACATATTCCATTACAGCAAAGTCTGAGCCAAAATTATTTATATATTATAAATTATTCCATTTTGCCACGATTAGGGTTGTGGCCAATGATGAATACCAGTTAATCCATTAATTGTTTAGTTTGTAGAACGTTCCCTGCCAGAGCTGAACTATTTGGGCTACAGATGCAAATTTTAAACACTTGATTGTCATAACTGATGGTCTGCAGATTTATTTAGTTTGAATCTAATAATTCTTGATATGAATGAAGTGGAGTCGACATTATTCCACATTTTGATAAAGTGACTTCAGCAGCTGAAATGGCTCGTTTAAATGACGCACAAAGTAACACAGTTTCTGTCCCAGTAAATTTTGATTTCTCCTGATTATGAGAGCTGTGGCCAGAAGTCATCAACCTCCACAGAAGTCTTTGTCATGATGTTCGTTGCTCGCTAAACTCCCACAATCCTCTCTGCTTGCCAACATGAACTGCCTGTAGTCTGAGCGACGCCTCCTCTGGTCTCTACAGTATTAAACAGTAAGAGGCTCCACCTGGTGGAACAACCAGGTACTACACATTACATTTTCTGACATTCGTGTCCCTTTTTTTCTGCTTTATTGGTGAATATAATTGGTTAAACCAGTAAAGGTAACTATTGTTTAACCAATACCTGTTGAAATCCCAAATGAGGGTAGCTTCCTTTGACAAAAATCAAAAACTAAAAGATATTCAGAAAAAACTAAATATTCAGTTTTAATAAGCAGGAACTCCAAACTTTTTTTTTTTTTTTTCGTATTTGTGATTTGAATAATGAATCTTCTGTTGCTCTAGTAGTGATCATCCAGTGCACTGTCTTTGGTCCTGGAGGTGTTCCTTCTTTGTGTTTGTTGTGACAATGTTCATCGGGGGGATTTAAA